CCCCTTTCAAATTCATGGCCCCTTTTTCCTTTTTTATATATATATACACACACACATATATATGAATACACACACATTCCTAAACACATAATACAACCTGCTCAGCCTGAATAACTAAATTGAGCATAGTAGAAAATGCTTTTGACCCTCAAATCAGAGATTTCTGTTAGACTGGACCTGACCTCCAGCTAAGATATGTCAGTCACACAGGCGAGCATCCTTGGGGACAGAGACTTAGGACTGTAGAGTGTGAACCTTGTGTGACGCCCCTCAGCATAATCAAATATAACTTTTGTTATACTAACTACATGAATCTATCTTCAAGATCGTGGCAATGATGTTATTCATATATGTTTTTAGGGCTGACCACTTGGTATTGAATAACAAATTGGTGTGCTCTTCCCAAATCAACTTTTAATATTTTAACATTGTTTTTGGAAGACAATGGGGTTCCATGGTTTGCCTAGTGTTTTTTTTCCAGCTCAAGGGCGCCATCTTCTGTTATTTCAAGTTGCCATTCTCTGGAATCTGACCTTATGGCTTTCTATTCTTTTAGGGTGGCTTTGAATTCTCTATGTAGTGAAGAATGTCTTTCCTGAATTCCTGATCTACCTGCCTCCAAGTTCTGGAATTATAAATGTGTTCCATCACACCAGCCTCCTTCCTGCCTTTCATGCCCCTTTCTTTCCTTTCTCTTTCAGATGTGTGTGTGTGTGTGTGTGTGTATTCATATATATATATGCATACATAAACGCACACAGTATACACACACATACACATACAATGTATATACACATATATTCTGTTGCCTGTGACAACATATATATATAATGTGTATAAATGTATATATGTGTGTCTATATATGTGTGTGTGTATTGAGAGAGTTTCACACTGAAGTCCAGGCTAACCTGGAAGGCACTGTGTAGTCCCAGTGGCCTTGAACTGGTTACTTCCTGCCCTGACTTCTGGAGTACTGCAATTCCTGGCGTGGCCGTCACAAGTGGCCTGATGTGTTGCTTTACAGTCAAATGTCTCCCGGTTCTTCTATTTATTATCAGGTGTTTTACTTTTCACAGTTTCTCAAAAAAGATACTTTTTCAACACTACCACCGTTGTTCCTATGAATTTTCTAACTGTGGCTTCTGTTGCCTGTGGCAACATGCTGGGTTTCAGACCTGTTCCCAACTATTCCCACTGTGGGTTGGGACCTTCCTTCTGGGAGCGAACCATTGTTCACTGGGGACCTTAGCTTCCCCTGTTCTTTTGAGCAGTTCTGGTGGCTTCCACACGCTCCTGGGATTCCAGCGTCGTTTCCCCAGGTTTCTGGCAAGCTGGAGAATGCAGGCCTTTCCCTCCTGTGCTGAGTTCCACGCAGGCGTTTCTCTGTGCTTTCCTTTTCATTCTCCTCATACCTTCATGTCAAGATGTGGCGTTATCTACTTCAGTTTTGTCATTCTGGAAAATACCAGTTTGCCCTCTTTCTTCCTCTCTCTCTCTCTTCTCTCTTTCTTTTCTTTTCTTCTCTTTTCTTTCTTTCTTTCTCTTTTCTTTTCTTTTTTTTTTTTTTTCAAGACAGGGTTTCTCTGTGTAACAGTCCTGGCTGTCCTGGAACTCAAACTCACTCTGTAGACCAGGCTGGCCTTGAACTCACAGAGACCCTCCTGCCGCTGCCTCCCAAGTGCTGGGATTAGAGAAAAGTGTGCGCCACCACCAACCACCCAGCTTTTTTGTTTTTTTAATTTTTGTTCTTAAATGTATTATTTCTTGTTAGAAGAGCCTTTCTCCAGCTGGACAGGAGGTTCAAGGCCTGCTTGGACTTCAGAGTGAATCTTTGGCCAGTCTGGGGGAATTGGTGGGATCCTCTTTCAAAACAAAACAAAATATGGGTATGTAGTGCAGTGGTAGAGTTCTTGCTAACACGTGCAAGGTCCTGCGTTCCAGCCCCAGTATTGGAAACTCAGCAAGCCAAATAGACAGAAACCTTTCCCATACTAAGTCAAAAAGATTTTTTTAATTATTTTTTATTGTTTTTGCTGAGCTATTTCTCCTTCCTTCCCTCTCCTTCCCTCTCCTGTGACCCCCACACTCCCAATTTGTTCAGGAGATCTTGTCTTTTCCTTCCTACGTAGATCCATGTATGTCTCTTAAAATTATTTTTAATTATGTATGTGTGTGTGTATGCATGTGAGGACAAGTGCCCAAAGAGGGTATTGTGTCCCTTGGAACTAGAGTTACAAGTGACCGTGAGCTGAGTGGTGTGGGTATCGGAAGTCACACTCAGATCCTGCAAAAGCAGCATATGCACTTGGAACCGCTGGGCCACCTCTCTCTCTGCCTCAGAGCTGAGCCTCTGGGCCACCTCTCTGCCTTCCTTTTCGTCATTTTTATTCAGCCAGGAGAGTCAGCTCGCCATCTTCCACTTCATGGGTCTCAAAGGTGGAACCCAAGTCCTCAGTCTTAGTGACAAGCACCTTCACTCTCTGAGCCATCTTGCTGCACCTTAAGCTTCCTCTTACATCTTTAAAGAAAAAAATATTTTTTTTAATTTTCTGTTATGTGAATGTGAGTGCAGGTGCCCACGGGGGCCAGAAGAGGGTGTCAGATGACCTGGGGGGGCAGAAGAGGGTGTCAGATGACCTGGGGGGCCAGGAGAGGGCGTCAGATGACCTGGGGGGCCAGGAGAGGGTGTCAGATGGTCTGGGGGCTGTGAGCGACCTGATGTGGGTCCTGGGAGCTGAACTCGGATCCTTGAAGGAGCAGCCAGTGCTCTTAACCCTTGAAAGACTCTTGTGGCTCCTCCACTTACATCTTAAAGCCACTAAAAGGTCACCTAAGTGTGGATTGGATCTAGTTTAATCTTTCTAGGCTGGCTTGGTACTCAGTAAGTAGTTCATGGTCACCTCAAAACTCTTGGCAGCCCTCCCGCCTCTGCTTCCTAAGCTGTAGTATATGCCACCACATCCAGTTATAACAAGTTTTCTCTACAAAGTCTCTAAATAGTCTCTGTGTTGCATTTCATAAAAACACAAATGTTGAATTTAAAAAGAAAAAAATAGAGTGGGGTGTGGTGGCACACACCTTTTATACTAGCAGAGGCTATCTCTCTGAGCTTGAGGCCAGCCTGGTCTACAGAGGATGTTCCAGGACAGCCAGGACTACACAGAAAAAGCCTGTGGCAGAAAAACCAAAACCAACCAAACAAAAAAAGCAGGAAACAGTGGAGACCTCAGGAACTGTGAGTGGGAGTTGGACTGGGAAGCCCCCTTTTCCTAATGGAGTTGGCATTCCCACCATTACGGCATTGCTGTGTTCAAATGTCAAGTTCTATGTGGATCCATTCCCGAGCTTTCCTTCTGTTCTGTTGGCTTGTTTGTCCTTGTGTCTGTCGGATATTCGGTTTTGTTTTGAGGACCCAGCCATAGCCTTTGTACATGCTTGGCAAATATTTATCCGTGTCACACCCCAGTCTCCCAGCCCTAGTTCATTCATCCTCCTTGTGTTTTGCAGTGGGGTCTCACGGTAGCTTGACTGACCAGGAACCTGTTATGCAAGCCAGGCTGGCTTCAGGCTCATAGAGATCACCTGCCTCTATTTGCTGAGTGCTGGGACAAAAGGCCTTGCACCACCATTCCCTCCTCCCTCCTCCTCCCTCCTCCTCCCTCCTCCTCCCTCCTCCTTCCTCCTCCTCCCTCCTCCTCCCTCCTTTCCCTCCTCCTCTTTTCCCTCTCCCTCCCTCCCTTCCTCCCCCCTCTCTCCCTTCCTTCCTTGCTTTTTTCCTTCCTTCCTTCTCTCCCTCTCTCCTTTCCTTCCTTCCTTGCTTTTTTCCTTCCATCCTTCTTAAACAATTTCGAAGTTAGGGCTGGGTGTGTAGTTGGTTGAGCACTTGCCTAATATGCACGAAGCCCTAGGTTGGACCCCCAGGATGACATGGAGTGGACATGATGGTATGTGACCGTCTTCTTAACACTGGCGAGGCAGACACAGGAGGATTAGGAGTGTGAGGCCATCCCAGAATACATAAGACCCTGTCTCAAAAGTGAAAGAGTAATAAAGTATCTCTGTGTGCTTTGTCTTAAGGCTTGATGGACTCTCCCCCCTTTAGGTTTTTGTTGTTTTTTGTTTGTCTATTTTCAGAATGGACTCCTCTTTTTACAGATTACTGTCTATGTATGTTTTATTCATTTATGTGTATGTGTGTGTAGTAGGGTTTACTAGAGAAATAGGACTGATAGAATGAATGTGTGTGTGTATATGAATGAGATTTATTAGACCAACTTACAGATAATGGTCTGACTCTTCCACCAACGCTGTCTGCTGATGGAAAGCCCAAGAATACAACAGTTGTTTGGTCCGTGAGACTGGGTGACTCAGTTGCTCTTCAGAGTGCGTTGGAATCCTGAAATAGGCTCTAATGCCCGTGGAGGAATGAACTTGTGAGAAAGATCAAGCAGGCGAAGAGCAAGTCCTTCCTCTTCCACGTTCTTTATCTAGGCTTCCAGCAGGAGGTGCGGCCCACATTTAAGGTGGATCTTCCCGCCTCAGATGGTCCAGGTGTAGAATGGGTCTTCCTGCTTCAAATGGTCCAATTGAGAAAAATCCCTCACAGGTATTCAGCAGCTTAGGTTTTGGTTAATTCCAGGTGTAGTCAAGTTGACAACCAAGAACAGCCATCACAGTGTGAGCTCATGTGTAGCCTGTACTTGCAAGTATCTGAACAGGCCAGAGAACTTCAGATCCCTGAGGTGGAGTTAGAGAGGACTGTGAGTTGTCAGGTATGGAGTCTGCACACGAGCAGTGTGCACTTCTAACCTCAGAACCCTTTCTAGCTCTCTATATTTTTTTAAATTTATTTATTTTTATTTTATGTGCATTGGTGTTTCCCCTGATTGTATATATGTGTAAGGGTGTCAGGTCCCCTGGAACTGGAGTCACAGACAGTTGTGGTTGCTGGGAATTGAACCCAAGTCCTCTAGAAGAGCGGCCAGTGCTCTTAACTGCTGAGCCATCTCTCCAGCCCCCAACACTCTATGTTCTTAAATGAGTCAGCTGCTATTTGTGTGTGTGGGGAGTGTGTGTGTGTGTGTGTGTGTGTGTGTGTGTGTGTGTGTTGTATATTGAACTAAGGGCCTTTCAAACACTAAACATTTGCACCACTACAACTCTAGTCCAGCAGGCATTGGGAGTAATGGAAACAGTGGCGCATTATAAGCACTGACTTACACAGAATTTGAAATCTTTCTGTTTCTATCTCCCAAGTGCTAGAGTTACAAGTGGACACCATGGTGCTCAGTTAAGTCAACATTTTAAATTTAATGCCTATAACCACTTTCTATAGTTTGAGTTCATTCAAAATTCCTGATTAAATTAATAAGAAGTGATGTCTCTCAGGATGTGTGAGTTTTCTCCTTTAATCTATAGGTACTGTTAGAGTTTTCCCATGTTAAACCATTGCAATTCTTGAAAGAAAACCATAATTGTAGAGTTTACATGGTGAATATGTATGTGAGGTATGAGTTCATCTAATGGATAATATATTTGTATGTAGATGGAAGTTTCTGTCTCACCTGGTCCCACAGCCATTTAGTCCCAAATAAACACACAGAGGCTTATATTAATTATAATATTTTAATATAATAGACCTGTTTGGTCTATTGCTCAGGCTTATTACTATCTAGTTCTTACAACTTAAATTAACCCATAATTCCTATCTATGTTTAGCCATGTGGCTTAGTATCTTTTCTCAGTAAGGCAGTCTCATCTTGTTTTCTCTGTGTCTTGCTTGCAACTGCTTCTCTGCCTTTCTCTTCCCAGAATTCTCCAAATCTGGTTGCTCTGTCTATACTTTCTGCCTGGGTACTGGCCAATCAGCATTTTATTAAACCAATACCAATGACAAATCTTTATAATGTATAAGAGCTTTACCCACAGCATTTCCCCTTTTTCTTTTCAAAACAAGAAGCCTGAATCTAATCTCCTTTTATCAGCTTTCTTACTGACTATTATTCATAACAACTTGTAACCAACACTCTAAACAAAGACAAACATCCATAATCCATTTCTTGGGAATGTGGGCATAGTTTTCCAGGCTACTGCCTGCTGATTGGGGGTTGCTGATAATCTTTGGGGTACCTTGAGAAAATTTAGGATTATGGTTAAATCTTGACTGGAGTATTCTGTGAGATTGGATCATCTCAGTCAACAGCCTTGAAGCTGTTCTGGATTTAGTTTTCCATGTTGAAGCTATTTGTTGGCAGAGGTTTTTATCCTGCCCAGTCCCAAAGAAACAGAGGCCTACATAAATTATAAACTGATTGGCCTGTTATCTCAGGCCTCTTATTAACACTTGCATCTTAAATTAGTCCATAATTTTTGTCTATGTTAGTCATGTGGCTTGGTACCTTTTATCAGTGAGGTGTCCTCATCTTGATTCTGCTATGCCTGGCTTCCTCTGTGATGACTGCAAACTGACCATTTCCTCTTCCCAGAATTCTCCTGTTCTCACCCCCCCACACCTATATTCCCTGCCTGGCCATTCAGTGTTTTATTAAAATACAAGTAACAATTTTTACAGGGTACAAGACCATTGTCCCACAGCATAACTTATCTTTTGACTTAAATTTTGAAGTCAAGATATTTTTAAAATATATAGGTTGGTTTAATACAACAGCGTTTATAAGCAAATGTCTTTTAGCAGATGCTTCTTCTTCCTTATCAGTCAAACAATTCAAAAACAATACATTAACACACAATATCTATGTTGTAATTTTTTTTTAAAAAAAAAAGCAGCATGTGAGAGAAAGATGCCCTGCAACAGAACTCATGTGGAGGGATTTTTATTAGGGGAAAGGGATGTAAGAAGAGGGAAGGGACAAAAATATAAAAATAAAAAAGAGAGAAGGGGAGGCAGGCTTCTGGGGAAAGAAGCAGCAGAAGAGAAGAGAGAGACAGAGAGACAGTCAGAAAAGCAAAGAGAGATAGAGATAGAGATGGGAGAGATGAGAGGGGGAACAAACAGACAGACAGGGAGAGAGAAAGAGAGATGGGAGGTGGGCAGGGCCATTTTTAAAGGAAACATAGTGGATGTCCACAGGGGGTGATCTCAGTGGCTGCAGCTGAGAACATATTCTGCCAGGACCCCAAGAGCAGGCCAGTGCAGATGCCTGAATACTAAGAGTCCAGATTCTATTTTCCATATTTATGTGGCTTTTTTCTTTATTACTCTATTTCTTTTTTTTAAGGACTTTCTCTTTCCTTTTTGTCTTCTCTCCCAAGCCTACACATATTTTTAAACACATTGTAAATCATTTAGAAGTGTTTTTCATCTGAATCTATCTTTACTATATATCTCTATCTATTTCTGACCACATGAATCTTTAATCTGCTAAGTGGCATGGCTAAGCTGAGGCTTTGGTGACTGGCTCTGTCCATTCCTTAGCTTTCTGAGAGTCTAGCTTCATGGCGGAGGTACTGGTGGGAGCCACATGTTATTGCCACAACTCTGCAGAATTTCTAGGTCCATGCCACCACCAAGAAGCTTGCCACTGGCTGCTCATGAAAACCATTTAAGTGTTTGGTAGCAGGGCCTCCTAAAAGAGTTGTGTGGGATTTGCAACAAAATGCTGAGTAAGGAAGCCTCTCTTAAAGAGGCTGCACCTCTGCTTGCCTCTAGAAAACATCCCACCTGAGAAAATGCTACTACCAAGAAGCCATGCTTGACTCTGTTCTTTTGAGTCTAGCATTCCTTCCAAAACTATCTTAGGTTTTATGTGGATGTAGTTGCCCCACATTGGATGCCATTTGTAGATGAAAGTTTCTGTCCAGTCCAGTCCCACAGCCATTCAATCCCAAATAAACATACAGAGGCTTATATTAACTACAAACTGTTTGGCCTATTGCTCAGGCTTATTACTAACTAGCTCTTACAACTAAAATTAACCCATAATTCTTATCTATGTTTTGCCATGTCTCTTGGTATCTTTTCTCAATAAGGCATTCTCATCTTCTTTCCTCTGCATCTGGCTTGTGACTCTTGTCTCTGCCTTCCCTCTTCCCAAAATTCTTCTAGTCTAATTGCCCTGTCTATACTTCTTGCCTTGCTACTGGCCAATCAGCATTTTATTAAACCAATACCAGTGACAAATCTTTACAGTGTACAAGAGTAAAATCCTATAGAGTCAGAACCTGCTCCAACACAGTCAGCTAGGGTACCTGGAAGGGGGCCTGAGGTTGAGGAAATGGCAAATTGAAGGAAATTGAAATAGAAAATACAGGATAGATTTGGGAGTTCTATTGGTAAATACCAATCAGCACAAAGTTTATTTCAGAACTTGCTTTTGTACAGGTTAAAGGCAGAAGGCAAACAAAGAACGATACAGTCAGGTGAACACCTTGGGAGGAAGCACAAGCAGTTTCCTTTTCTACCTGGATGCCTTTAGCTGGCATTCACCAGCCTGTGTCTTAGTAGATGATGTGTTCTTTCTCATGGGCAAAAATGCTCTTTCCCATGGGCTAATCAAAACATTCTCACAGCCCTCAAGAATATTGCAGGAGGCAGAGCAGGCAAACTTGAACTCAAATGACTTATAAGTTATAATAGACTCCAGATGGAAACTGAGTCATTTGTGGGCCACCACACCATAGCAGTTGTGTATTTTCATTTTTCCTGAACTGGAAACAGAGATGGTTTGTTAATAAGGGGAAAGTGAGGGGGCTGGAGAGATGGCTTAGTGGTTAAGAGCATTGCCTGCTCTTCCAAAGGTCCTGAGTTCAATTCCCAGCAACCATATGGTGGCTCACAACCATCTGTAGTGAGATCTGGTGCCCTCTCTGACCTGCAGGCACACATGTTGGCAGATATTGTATGCATAATAAATGAATAAATATTTAAAAAAAAAATAAGGGGAAAGTGAGCTAGAGAGATGGCTCAGAGGTTACGAGCAGGTAGTGTTCTTGCAGAGGACCTGGGTTGGGTTCCAAGCACTCACACTGGATGGCTCACAACTGCTTGGAAGTCTGCAGTTGTGGACATGCTGCCCTCTGCTCTGTGGACATTGATACACATAACTAAACAATCTGTAGAGCGAGAGGAAAGCATCCTGACAATGGCGCGCACTAATGAGCCAAGGGAAGAGCAGGGGCTCAAGCCTTTTTCTCTTTTTTTGAGTCACGATCTTGCTGTATACCCGACTGGCCAGGAACTCACTCCTCACAATGTAGTCTAGACTGACCTTGAATCATCATGCCCAGTTTGTTTTTGCCATAGAGTAAATGAGAGTCTATAAGGTCTCATATATCCAAGGCTGGTCTTGAACTCTTACTGTAGCTAAAAATACCTTGAATTCCTGATCTTTCTGCCTCTCCTCCCTGGAATTGTGGACACAAGCCACCAGGCCTGACAGCATTTATTTAATCTTAAACCTATTTTCATCAGCAGGCTCGGATTTATCATCTCTTGTGCTTTATTGTCCCAAAATTTCTTGTCTTGTTTGTGTTTGAGGGATGTACATATTGATACATATGGAGCCATGTGTGAGGGTGTGTGGATGCATGTGTACATGTGTGCTCATGCATGGGGAAATTTGAAGTGGACATTTGGTGTCTTTCTCAATACCTTTCCACTTGTTTTTATTTTTATTTTATTTTTTATCAAATAAGGGCCTCTCACTGAACCTAGAGCTGACTGATTCTGGCTAGTCTCCCTAGCCATCTTGACCCTGAGCCCTGGGGTTACAGATGGTTGCTACACCTGCCTGCTCAGGATTATAGGTGACTGCTACACCTCCCTGGCCGGGATTACAGGTAACTGCTACACCTCTCTGGCTGGGTTTATAAATGGCTGCTATACCTCCCTGACTGGGGTTACAGGTGGCTGCTACATCTGGCTGGCCTGGAAATCGCTGTGTGAGGCCAGGCTGGCCTCTATCCATCCTTCAGTGACACTCCTTACCTCTCTGTCTGATGCTGGGTTACATGTGTGCACCACCATGTGGCTGTTTCTATTCTTGCACTGTCTCTATGAGCTTAGTTACCTACTCTGTATCTGGAATGATTTCATAAAGGAGCTGCCCTGTTCTTTGAAGACTTGGTAAAATGCACTGAAAAATATTATAAGCCTGATATTTTGTTGTTGTTGTTGTTGGGAAGGCCTTTAATTACCTAGTTATCTATGGATATTTTGTATCTTGATATGTAGTTTCTCTGCCAATTTTGACATTTTAAATTTTCAAAAAAAAACCCATTCTCTTCATCTAGTATTATCATTAGCCCATAATTGCACAATTATATAATTAACCTAAACAGGCACCTGGATAAACTCAGCTGTTGTTCTCTAGCGTGATGATTACTTTTCTGATCTCAACTACTCAAGAGGTTGAGGCAGGAGGATGAGAGCTCAAGACTGGCCCGCAGCAGAGAGGCCTCCTCCGACAAGCATCGTCCCGTATCCATGCAGGCCACTTGCTTTTCCTCTTGATCTCATCATGTGACTTATTTCCATCTTTTCCTAGTCATCTCATTGGAGAACCACAGTAAGCATTAGTCCATTAAATGTACTAAGAGAAGGCAGAAACTCAAGCTGGTTCTAAGGCTGGAATTTAAAACTTGAGGTCTTGGCTAAGGAGGTGGCTCAATGGTTATGAGAGTACTGTTCTTTCGGAGTGTTAGGAAAAATCCTAAAATGAGCCGCTCTGCCATCGCAAAGAAATCCAATCAGACCAGATTAAAACACATCAAATGCCCGTGTTTAATGGACCACAGTCCTGGGTGGCCAGGAGAGCATGGCAAGGGAAAGACGGAGAGAGCACACACGCAAACCCAAAGCACGCAGTGTTCTTCCTTCCAGAGCAAGCCTAAATAGCCTGGGGGAGTGGTCCTGACCCTCCCTGGGGAAGGGTCAGCAATTGGCAGGCTGGGAGTTGGAGTCCAAGCCAGTTCAACTGTTAGGCCAGGGGTTTCCAATCATCCCAGACTTCTTGGATATAGGGGTGTTAGAGGGCTGGGGTGACGCCCCCAGCTTAATATTACAGTCCAGACTCTTCAGATACAGGGATGTGACTTTTGACCAAAATCCCAGAGTTCTTGGCTATAGGGGTGTTGGCTCAAGTCTGACCACTTCCTGTGGGCGTGGGGTGGCATGGGAGAGGGAAGAGAAGCTGAGAGTTGGAGTCCAAGCTCAGAAAGAGGTGTTGCTGGGGCAGCATCCAGCAGCTGATTTTTAAGGGAGAAGAGAAGGCAGGTGGCTAGGGAAAAAAAATATTGCTTTTACTGGTCCTATGCATTAACTGCCAGAAAGACTGGAACAGGGAAGTGCCCTGATTGGAGAGGTGAGGCTCGGGTGTATCAGATACAACCAGATTTTAGTCAGTAGGTGTCCTTTGTCTAGGAGAGTTGGTACCAATGGTGAAGTCCCAGGAGGTGGTGTAAATCTTTGGTGTTATCTGGAGAGCACTTTGTGAGTTGGTCATGGCCCAAGGCAGCAGAAGCGACCTGTAATATATGCTGGAAACTGGCTGGGGCTAGCAAAAGGCTCTGGAGACCAGAACAGACTTTTTGAAGCAGCGGTAGAACTTTTCCAGGAACCTGTAAGAGAACTGGAACAGATTTACATCTTGGTGTCATAGCAAAAGGCTATTGCTTTAGGTTAAGACAATTAAAGGAGTTGGGAACCCTAGACCTCTGAAGACATACCTGAAACCGGTTAGGCACACCTGTTTATCTTTTAGCGGGAAACGTCATTAAATGTCATGGATGAAGTAATAAGTTAACCGTACCTAGGTTGTCAAATGCCATTTAGACAGATCTGGGAGGGATAAATGAGCAAAAATGAAACAGCTTTTTAGCTACGCAAGCAACCCCAAATCCTCTTCGTAGTCCTTGGAGAACGCCAGTCTTAGAAGCAGTGCTTGCCCTTAGTTTTGAGTACAAGAGGCCCGACAATTTTTCCCGTGTGGGGAAGAGTTAATCTACCCGGCTTGGCAGGATGAGGTGATCGATTTCACGGGTAAAGCATCCAGGAATCTGGAAAGGTTGCTTTTTTGCTGTGTGAGTGGCTTTGCCAAGGCCAAAGGCAAGTCCTTCTGTAACCACACATCTTCTTGGAGGAGCTAAGCATGCTGCAAAAGCTGGCATGTCTCTGTGTTAGAAGCTCTTGTTGTAAACTCAAGTAGAAATGGATCAAAGACCTCAACATAAAGCCAGCCACACTGAACTTTATAGAAGAGAAAGTACACTTGAACGCATTGGCACAGGGAACCACTTCCTAAATAGAACCCCAGCAGCACAGACACTGAGAGAAACAATTAATAAATGGGACCTCCTGAAACTGAAAAGCTTCTGTAAAGCAAAGAACACGGTCAACAAAGACAAAACGACAGTCTACAGAATAGGGAAAGATCTTCACTAACCCCATATCAGACAGAGGTCTGATCTCCAAAATATACAAAGAACTCAAGAAATTGTCACCAAAAGAACACATAATCTAATAAAAAAAAGATGGAGTACAAACCTAAACAGAGAACTCTCAACAGAGGAATCTAAAATGGCTGAAAGACACTTAAGGAAATGTTCAACATCCTTAGTCATCAGAGAAATGCAAATCAAAACAACTCTGAGATTCCATCTTATACCTGTAAGAATGGCCAAGATCAAAAACACTGATGACAACTTATGCTGGAGAGGTCGTGGGGAAAAGGGAACACGTCTGCATTGCTCGTGGGCATGCAAGCTGGTACAACCCCTTTGGATGTCAGTGTGGCGATTTCTCAGAAAATTAGGAAACAACCTTCCTCAAGACCCAGTAATACCACTTTTGGGTATATATCCAAAGGATGCTCAATCGTGCCACAAGGACATGTGCTCAACTATGTTCATAGCAGCTTTGTTTGTCATAGCCAGAACCTGAAAACAACCTAAATGCCCCTCAATAGAAGAATGGATGAAAAAACAATTTACACATGGAGTACTATACAGCAGAAAAAAATAATGACAGTTTGAATTTTGCAGGAAAATGAATGGAGCTAGAAAACATTATTTTGAGTGAGGTAACCCAGACACAGAAAGAAAGTTATCACATGTACTCACTCATAGGTGGTTTTTAAACATAAAGCAAAGAAAGCCAGCCTACAAATCACAATCCCAGAGAATTTAGACAACAATGCGGACACTAAGAGAGACTTACATAGATCTAATCTACATGGAAAGTAGAAAGTAGAAAAAGACAAGATCTCCTGAGTAAATTGGGAGCATGGGGACCTTGGGGGAAGACTGAAGGGGGAAGGGAAGAGGCAGGGAGGGGAGCAGAGAAAAATGTAGAGCTCAATAAATATCATGAAATAAATAAATAAATAAATAAATATTTTAAAAAAGAAGCTCTTGTTGTTAAAATGCCATGATCTCAGATTTGTAAAGGCATTTGAGAACCAGGTACCATTACCTGTTATTTTAAACTGGGCTTAATATTGCACAGAGGACTGGAGTTCAATAATTCAATTCCCATGTCGGGTGGTTCAAAACCACCTGCAAGTCCAGCCTAGGAGGCTCTGACATCTCTGGTCTTCATGCTCAGACACTCATGTGCATATACCCTTAAACAGACTTCCCCCATATGATATATATATATTTCAAAAACTGGAGTCTAACGCTTGCATGCCCATAATCTCAGCCCTCAGTAGACTGATGAAGAAGGATTTACCATGAGTTCAAGGCTAGTCAGAACTACATAGTGTGACTCCATTTCATTATAAAAATACCATGACCTCATCTCATAAAAAAAGTAAGGACTGGTAAGATGATTCCTTGGCTAAGGTAGAAAGAGAAGCAACTGCCTTAAGATGTCCTCTGACTTCCACATGTGTGCGATGGTACACAGGTGACCATACACACTGTGTGCACATACACACATATTCAATAAATTTTTAAAAAATTAAAGAAAAAAGGGATGAGGATATAACTCAAAGTGCTTGCCTAGCATGCAAGCCTGAGGAGTCAGCCTCCAATACTGACGTAATAAATGATTCCATAAGAAAAGGACTGGAGGAGGATGATAGGTCAAAGCAGACCAAAGCTTCATGCTGCCAAGCCCAATAACCTGAGTTTGAACCTCAGGACACACATGTTGGAAGGAAAGAAGTTGTCCTCTGACCTACACACACACACACACACACACACACACACACACACACACTATGGCATGCACACACTCTTGCAATAAATAAGCTGGGGAGATGGCTCAGCAGTTAAGAACACTGGCTGCTCTTCTAGAAGACCTGGGTTCTGTTCTCAGAATCCACATGGAAGTTCTGTAAACCCAGTCCCAGAGAATCCAACATCCTTTTCTGACCTCCACAGGTACCGCACACATGGTATACAGATATCCATGTAAGCAAAACACACATACACATAAAATAAAAGATAAAGTAATTATAAGGTAAGACTGGGTGACAGGTACTTTTCTAGACACTGGCCAAGGTTGCTGAGGTTCTAGATCTGCCCCCCAATATCATATACACAAAAGACAAACAGTAGAGGAAGAAAAGGAAGGACAGAGAGGAAGCAAGGCAGGGAGGGAGGGAGGAACAGAGGCTTGGTGCTGTCAGCTAAGTAGAGATAGGAAGTAGACAGTTTCAGGAGCAAGGGTCAGTCAAATCCAAAGCTGACATGTAAAGTATGTGGTGTTTAAAACTATGAGACTGGTAGGGACCATCAAGGTAATATAGACAGGAGAAGACATTCAAGGAGCAAACTGTGACCCTCTCCAGTGTGCTGAGACACGGAGGGCAGAGGACACAAGGCCTTGGGTAACA